TTTCTCTCATTTGAGTGAAGTGGGTTACTCCAAGCATAGCTCTTTCGATTCCTCTTTGGGAGACCCGAATAGACCCGAAATCATCCTGTTTTCGTAGGGCCCAGCTCTCTGAGGCGTATGTTAATGAAAGAAGAACAGTGGAATCGAAGAGATGTGCCTGGAGGCAGAGGTTCTTTGTCCTCTTAGCTATATCTTTAGTGCTCTTGAAGGCATTCCAAGCCACTCTCTTCCTCCTGCACAACTCAAGTGCCAGGTCATTCGTCATGTTGACTTCTCGACCTAGGTAAACATAACTGTTGCATTTGGAGATGTTCATTCCATTGAGAGCAAATGGAACATCAGGAACGAGACTGTTTCTCATAAAAATTGTCTTCGTGAGATTCAGCTGTAGTCCGACCTTTCCACACGCACAGTTGAAGTCAGCCAGCATTTGTGCTGCTTGGCTAATGTTTGGTGTTATTAGAACGATGTCATCATCAAAGAGGAGGTGGTGTAGTTGCCAACCGTCTATCTTCACTCCCATTTCTTCCCATTCCAGTCGTCGCATGACGTTCTCCATGGTGGAACTGTAGAGTTTCGGTGAAATAGTATCGCCCTGCTGAAACCCCTCTCTTGACATTGATGATCACTTCTTTATAGAATGGCGAGATTCTGGTAGTAAATCCGTAATACAGCTCACAGAGGATACTGATGTATTGAGTTTGAATGCCCTGATTGACTAGGGCTTCAGTGACCGCTTCCATCTTAACAGAAACAAAGGCCTTCTTTAAATCAATGAACATTAGACAAAGCAGCATCTTGAACTCTCAAGAAACCTCAATGAGCTTGGTTATCATGTGGATATGGTAAGTCATGCTGAATCCTTTGCGGAACCCAGCTTGCTCACATGGTTGTCCTTCATCTAGTATTCTGCCAATCTTATTCAGGATGACTCGAGTGAACAGCTTATAGATGACGGACAGTAGGCAGATTGGGCGATAGTTGCCAATGTAATGGATGTCTCCCTTCTTGTACAGTAGTACAGTCCTACTCGTTTTCCACTGGGACAGAACCTTCCATTCAGAAAGGTAGCGCGTGAATATCCAAGCCACTGTAGTGATGAGTATGGAGGGCAGGTTCTTCAGGTGTTAAGGTCTGACCTTGTCTGGGCCAGGTGCTGTTCGTTTTTTTACTGACGAAATGGCATGTCGGATTTCGGAAGGGAGAACATTGGGAATGACATATCCATCATGCAGAATTTGATATGTGGGCAGGTGGAGGTGGGTATCAAAAAGATCTGAGTAGAAGTCATCGATAATCTTCTACATTGACCTTCTGGAAGATGTGATAGATCCATCAGGACATCGGAGGACAGTCATCTTGGTCTTCTAGTTGGCGAAGGACAGTGGATGTTGCAAATGCTTTACCCGGCTTCTGCCGCATCTGCCAGCACTGCTGCTCTTCTCTCTTTGAGATCTTCCTTTATCGCATCTCCACTGCTTTTTGAGCTTGGACATTCGCTTGTGGTTGCCTGAGGCATGTGCCAAGCCACGTTGGCGAATAAGCTCAAAAGTTTTCGAAGGCAGGCTTTTTTTTGTGGCTATCTCTCTCTTGGCTTTCTTCGCCCAATCATGGAAGTAATGAACCAGTCAATCGTATTCCTCTTCAATGCTGTCAACTACAGCATCTTCCCATGTTGCAGCAATAGTGCCAAAGAGCTCCCAGTTGGTGGTCGTTCTGGGAGTTCTCTTCTTAAACTTTGCAGTCCTTTCTCCCTGCTCTGTGAAGTAGAATTTTGCAAGAAGGAGACGGTGGTCAGATTCCGTTTGGAATTTTGGGACAACAGCGACATTGGTCAGGCAAAACCGTTGATTGAATATGATGTGGTCAATTTTGATGTGGAACCATCCCCCGGGAGACTCCCATGTCCAACGTTTAGATTCTGCCTTCTGGAACTGTGAGTTACCATGGATGGTCTTGGTCGACATGATGAACTCAGACAGTGCTTCACCCTGTTCGTTCCATTCTAGGCCATGGGTCCCAATGTGGAGATCTTTGGCTGATCTTCTCGGTCCTATCTTGGCATTGAAATCACCAACAATGATCTTGTAAAAGGTGTGGTCTTCTTTATAGAACTTCTCCAGCACCTTGTAGAACTTCTCAATTTCTCCTTTATCATAATTGGATGTTGGTGCGTAGACAACAAAGATAGAAATCTGGCAGTGAGCCACATCTGTTGAAGTGTCATCGTCTGATTCGGGTTGTTAGACATTCGAATGAATCAATGCTCATGGCCAAGTTCGTGTTGACAAGGACACCGACACCACTGACGCTTCTTTTGTCACATGTTCTGAGGAACAGTTCCTCTCCAGTGTCGAAAACGGTGTGATGGGATTCATGCTTTCTTGTCTCAGTCATACCAGTGATGTCATTCTTGATCTTTTGTGCTTGTACCATCAGGTCCTTGATAGATGCATCTGATGCCAGCATACGTGCATTGAATATACAATCATTTTTGTCTTTCTTCGTTTTGGCATCCTAGTTCGGCCTTGAGATTTTATCAGCCTCTCCTTCCACATCCTTCTCAACGCTGCCGTATTGGTGACTCCTTCAGGGTCAGGAGAATGAGACCCATTGTATTTACTGGTTTTGGCATATCAAATATGCACCGGATAGCTTACCAGGCTCTGCCAGGTGGGTGGGATACTCTCCATAGCTTGCCAGGCTCTCTGAGAGGGATAGAGTCTTTTGGGGCAGACTTTAATCGCCCTTGTAGGTGTACCTATGGTTCAAACTATATTCGAACCTTATCAAATATGGTGTGGCAATCCTGGAAGATGGGTATTAAGTGTCTTATGATGTGTTGCGTGGCTGCTTTGCGGCTGCGCGGTTCAGAAAATGTCCTGGAGTATGGCGACGGCTGGGTAGTGGAGGTAGTGGAGGTCTGCTGGTGAGGTATTTATCTGGTACTGGTAGTGTGGGTTTTCTGTGCATAATCCAATCCCTGGTTCTCTCTGGCGGTTGATGGAAGCAGACAGGGAAGGGTAGGATAGGGCTTCTGGTTGTAATCCCTTCGTCACCTGTGGTTGGTGGGAGCAGGCAGAGGATCTCTGTCCCTGTGTCCGTTGAGCCTGTAGTCCAAGGTCTCAGAGTTCAGCTTATCTTGTTCAGTGGGGCTTCACTTGTGCGTGAGTCTTGGCCGGAGTGTCTGGAAAGCATCCTGGAGCGTAGCGGCATCTGGGTAGTGGAGGTAGTGGCCGAGACTCACACACAAGTGAAGCCCCACAGAACAAGATAAGCGGAACTCTGAGACCTTGGGCTGCAGGCTCAACGGACCCGGGGACAGAGATCCTCTGCCTGCTCCCACTAACCACAGGTGAATAAAACCAGGAGCCCCACCCTAGCCTGCCCTGTCTGCTTCCACCAACGGCCAGAGAGACCCAGGTATTGGATTATGCACAGAAGACCCACCCTACCAGTACTAGATAAATACCTCACCAGCAGACCTCCACTACCTCAACTACCCAGCCGCCACCATGCTCCAGGACGCTTTCCAGTTTTACTCATACATAGAATATAAATATAACAAACCATCAGAAAGCAACAATACTAATACCTAGACCCAGTGAAAATAATGGTAGTTACTTGAAGGAAATGGGGAAGGTGAAAAGAATAGATAGAGTGGTGTTTTTGGTGATAGAATGGCACTGAAACTTTGGTAGTGAACATAATAAATTTAATATACATATACAGGGGCTGGAGCAATAGCACAACGGGTAGGGCATTTGTCTTGCACGCCGCCGACCCGGGTTCAATTCCCAGCATCTCATATGGTCTCCTGAGCACATCCAGGAGTAATTCCTGAGTGCATGAACCAGGAGCAACTCCTGTGCATCGCTGGGTGTGACCCCAAAAGAAAAAACATACAGGTACAAAGCTAAACCCCTGAAATTTTGCAATACTGTTAACTCAGAGAAATCAGTAAAACAGTGGGATTTTACAGGGGGTTTTTCTGGCTATATTTTTACTATATTTACTCTTTTTATTGCTCAAGTATTGGAAGCTAAACTTTCCTCCCATGACCTTGCATTTTTCTGATTTGTTTTCTTTGTATTTTCCTAGAGATTTTAGGTTTCGTCTGCCTTGCGCAGTTCTTTCAACTGTATCCCATATTATAAAATAGAAACTCTTTGATGTTGTGGTAAGTTGTTATGGGACTAGAAGTGATCTATAGTTCTATGTAAGATAGTTTTAGTAAGCAAGTACTCCTGGGCTGTCTTTCACACAGGCTTTTTAGTTTTGATATGTTTTTCCTCTTTACCTGAATAGGAAGGCTACGGTGTGATAGAATTGTATATTTTCCTTCCCAAGACTGAATAGGCTCTAGTTTAAACTCTAATAGATTTGGCTTTGGTTTCTCTTGAGAGCAGACAACTTTCCTGGTAATAGAATGTTCTAGGCTTGTCTAAATGTGACTGTTTCCCTTTCCACGACAAAAGGATAAGCAAATTCTTCTCTTATCACTGTGAAAGATAGAGTTCTGATAGAGTTCTAGTAGTAACTAGCGTGGGAGTCATCCCCCAAGATTTAGCCTCCTTGGAACTTTTTTAATTTGTCCTCACTGACTTACAACCCTTTAGGTTCTGCAACCTTAGGCATGGCTTCCACAGGTTTTTTTTTCTTCTCCACAGTTTCTACACTGGTAAGCTGCACAGCTATGTATCCACCTATTTTTTTGTCTATATTTTCAGTTTAGGGGGCACTGTTATTTTAGTATAGACTTGTACTGCTGTATCTCACTTCTCTGATGACTCTAAGTGGAGTTCATGCTTTTCAGTTTGTTCTGAGTTTTTTCTTGGTGCAAAGTTAACTTCCAAACTCATTACATGCCTTAAGATATTTACCTTCAATTATTAAAGACTATTATGAAGCATGTAAAATTCTTTACTGGCAGTTCTTTTTTTGACCATCATACAATAAAGGATTTTATTATGGAAAACTGTTTTCTAATTTATGGCAAGTTTTACTTTCAGAAATAAAACCACAAAACAACGCAATCTAATTCAATCTTAAAGGCTGGCATGCTGAGCAAGGAATGTTCTTATTCTTTGTAGGAGCTCCTTTATGCTATCAGGTACCAGGGCTCTGCCTTTTGGTGTGATTTCAGCCACCAAGTCATCAACAGTAACGTGTTCTATTTCTTTTTCTTTAATTAACTCTTTACAGTGTGCCTTCAATTGATCCTTCCAGCTACATTCAATTAATTTAGCTCGAAGCATCTCTTTGAGGCATTCTCTTTCTCCAGTTTCTATCGACTTTTGGTTAATCGATGCTCTCATATATGCATCTTTGTTCATGTTGCTAATCACACTCTTCGGCTGCCCAGACTTAGACCCTCAGTAGCTCCACTGGCAGTTCTTTTTTATCTATCATTTTCTATGTATTCCATTGTTTTATTAATTTTTAAATGTTTAATTAATTTTGTTACTGAATGTTTTTTATTTTAGCTCTTGTCTCTTTCTGGTACTCCCAGTATATGTATGATGGTACACTTAATGATGTACTTAACATATCTTTGAAGCTGAAGCTGTGTTTATTTTATCTTTGTTTTCTCAAGTTTGTTTTTTTTTTGAATGGGTGGGCTGGGCACACTTGGCTGTGCTCAACACTTACTCTTGCTTCTGTGCTCAGGGATAACTCCTGATGGTGCACAGAGAACTGTTAGTAGTAATGGGGATTGAATTTATGTCAGGGATGTGCGAGACAAGTTCATTTCCCGCTAAATTATCACTTGGTCACCTTTTTCTCAGTGTTTCTACTTGGGGGGGGGGATATTGTGTTGAGTAAATACAGTATCCCCACATCCCCCACCCTGACTCACAACAGGTGAGCCATTGTTTAAGTTGACAGAGAATTTAAGGACAGTGAGAATATCAAATTTCAATAGGCACATGAAAGAGCAGAGGCTGTGGTAGTTCAAGTAACAGCCACGATTAAAGTATTAAAGTGACAATTTCCTATTCTATGTTTTGTCTGTTTCCTTCTACATCTAAAAGACCCTAAACTGCTTTAATTTATTCTTTCCTGGGTGCATTTTTACTTCCAGTTTTATATTGTAAAAGATCCAAACTGCTTTGCCCAGGGGATCAGCCCAATCTTGGTATTATAGTTAGGGGTACAATTTCCTATGATTTCTTTCATTTAAGAGTAGAGTCATCTATCTTTCTTGCAGAAATTCCTTATATATTTGGTCCACTGTTGATATCATTTTTTGGTTTCTACTCTGGTCACTGGATTTCTCTTGGAAATTTTTTTATTGGTTTAAAATACACATAACCATGATCAGCAGTCAGGAGCCCGTGCCTGGCATGTGCCAGAACCTAAATTTGAACTCGACACTTCCTGACACTCTTAAACACCACATGGCCCCTCAAGCACTACCAGGTACCACCAAGTGTGACCCTAGTGACCCCAGTACTACCAGGCCATAGCAGCACCATATTGTAAGTCCAAGCACTGAACTGTCCTGCCCTATTAGTCAAGAAATAATTACAGGGGTCCCTGAGTTTCCAGAGCACTACTTGGGAGGACTTTTAACAATATGCATGACATGAAAGTAGACTATGGACTGAACATGTTTGCCACTCAATGCCTCTTTTGCAGACCACAACACCCAAACGGAGAGAGAGAACACAGGGGATTGCCCTGCCACAGAGGCAGGGGGGGATGGGGGGATGGGGGTGGGAGGGATATTATCCATGGTGGTGAAAAACGGGCACTGGTGGAGGGATGGGTATCTGATCATTGTATAATTGAAACCCAAGCACAAAAAAAATTGTAAATCTACAACTGTAAAAAAATAAATAAAAAAAAACAATATGCATGACATTAAATTTATTATTTTAACCATTTAAGAATACAATTAATTGATATTAATTGTACTTACAATGTTGTGTAACCTTTCCCACTATTTTCAAATACTTTCTATTATCCTGAAAGAATATTTGTAGTAATGTAGTCATGAAATAATAACTCTTTAGTAACCCTTCTTTCAAACCCTGGTAACCCCTGTCAGCTCTTTAAATCTGCAGATTTGTCTATCGTAGGTACTTTATAAGTAGAGTAATTTCATGTTTGACATCATTTAACTTAGTTTATTTTTGTTGAGCATAATTTCTTCAAGATTTATCTATGTCATAGAATGTTTCAGGACTTCATTCTTTTTATGGCTAAAAGAATGCAAAGATTTTTTTAGAATTTTGTTTGGGACATACCCAGTGGTATTCAGGAACTTTTCCTAGTTCAGTACTCAGTACTCAGTATTTGCTCCCAGATGTGCTTGAAGACCTTATGGTATCAGAGATCGAATCCAGGGCTTCTGCATGTCTAGTGTGCACACTAGTCCTTTTGAAGTCAGTTGGCCCCAGGAGTGGCTTATGTGAGGCGGAGAAAAGAGAAAGTCGCGTTCTCCCAATCCATTTCTGCTACCTCACGACAGCTGGGAAGGCTAGGATTGATAAAGTATGAGGATGAGCCTCTGCACAGCATGGGCTGTCAAGCCACACCTGAGGTCCACTTGGTCTTTTTGGCACAGGAGTTGATCCCCACCACCCAATTTCTTGGGGAGCTGAGGACTTGGACTGGAGCAAGGAATTGTTCTTTGCAGAAAAGGAAAGTCAGTCCTAGGCCTTACGCAGGGTTTCTGGGTCCTTGTCTTTCTCACAGAAAAGAATTTCAGGAGTAGATGAGCAGTGAAGTAAAATCAGATTTTATTTGGAGATTTTCAGGAAGAGGAGGGAGGAAGAGAAAAATAGGAGAAACACGCTGAAGAGAGAATACAGTACACATCTCAAGAGGGGAGGTTGAGGCAACACATGTGCTTAGGCACCGCATATGCTCGGCCATGTGGGCACAAGCAGCACATGGGCTCAGGCAGCATGCCCTTCCTTTGTTCAAGGTGGCTTTTATTGGGTTTCTCCGATCTGCTCCCATGTGGGACTTCTACCTAGGTAAAATTCAATTGCCTTTGACCCTAGATTTTTATTTTGAAAGCCACTTTGATTACTGCTTCTATTTTTTTGTTTGTGGTTGACCTTTTCAGGTTTTCTGATTCTAGTAGTTTATCGACTTCTCTTAAGTCTCCAGTGTAGCATCATAAATATTGTTCATGGTGGTTACTTATGAACCCTTTGGCCTATCTCCCTGCTCTCTGAGAATTTTTATATCCATGTTGTTAGGAATATTGGTCTATAACTTTTTTGCACGGTTTTTGTTTGCTTTTGGTGGAAGACTAATGTTGGCCTGAGAGAAACTGAAAGAAATAATACAGGGAGGTTAGTAGAGGTTAGTTTGTCCAAATTCTCCAGTTTAGTGGCACAAAAGTTGTGCATGGTCATCTCTTATGATCCTTTGTATTTCTGTGGTATCTATATTTCTTCCTCCCCTTTCATTTCTGAACATATTTAGAGGCCTTTTTCTTTTTTTTCTTAATGAGTCTAGCTGAAGGTTTATAAATCTTGGGGGGTTTTTTTTTGGTTGTTGTTTGGAAATTTTTTCTAATGAACCAACTTTTAGTTTCATTTATATTTTGTACTGTCTTTTATTCCTATTTTTATTTCTCCTTTAGTTTTATTATTTCCTTCCTTCTTTTGATGGATTTGGGTTTTATTTTTTGCTCTATTTCTTGTTCATTAAGGTGTGACATTATATTGTTTATTTTAGCCTTTCCTTATCTAAGTTATACTGCTATTAATCTCCCTCTTAACACTACTTTGACTGTGTTCCATATTTTCTAGTAACTCATACCTTTTCATTGTCAGGTGTATCAAGGAATTCTTTCTTGTTTTCCTGTGGTTGACCTTTTCAGGTTTTCTGATTCTAGTAGTTTATCAACTTCTCTTAAGTCTCCAGTGTAGCATCATAAATATTGCTCTTGGTGGTCTCTTATGAACCCTTTGGCCTATCTCCTATCCAGTAGTTTTCTATAACAGGTTATTTTGTCTTCAGAAATTTGAGGTTTTCCCAGATTTCCTTCCAAGGCTAATTCCTAAGTTTATAGTCTTAAAATTTTTTAAAAGGATGCATGTCTGCTTTCAATCTTTATGACTTTAAGTGAGTTTTTATGTTCCAGCATGTGATACTTCCAGGAGAATGTTCTAAGTGCACTAGAGAAGAATGAGTATTTGGCTTCTGAGAAATTGAAAAATAGTGGGCCCTGTACGTATATTTTAGGCTCATCTCTTTCAACTCATCATTAAAGTGTTTTTCCTTATTGATTTTCTGAATGGTTGAACTAGCCGGTGGTGATTCTGGAGTGTTAAAAGCCTGCAACAACTATTGTGTTACTATCAATCTCTCTCGTAAGGCCTGTTGTTACTCACTGCATATGTTCATTTGATGTGTGTACATTAAGATTATAAGTCTGCTTCATGTATTGACTCCTTAATCATTATATAATGTTTGTCTCTATCTCCTATGACCTTTCTTGGTTTGTAGTCTATTTTGTTGGATCTAAATGTGCCCATCCCTGCCTGTTTAGGCTACCATTTGCCTGTAGGATTGTTGTCTAACCATTTACTTTAGCTTGTTTTTATCATTGAAGTTCAAATGTGTCTCCTGTAAGGCAGCAGAAAGTTAAGTGTTTTTTCTCTGATCCATCTGTTCACACTATGCTTTCTGATGGGTTTTGGATACGCATAAATACATAGTGTTGTAAATCAATGCTAAAAGAACAAAAATAAAAGTGTTAAAATGAATAATTACAAGCATTGACATTTAAATTATTGTTATAAAGAAATTTATTGCCATTATATGTATAGTCTCTGTTTTTGCAGTTTGTCTTTGTTTCTTTGACCTCTTGTATTTTTCCCATGTGATTGGGGGAAATTGCCTGTTGTGTGGACATTTTAGGTTCCATTTGTCTCTTCCCATTTCTATTTCTTTCTTCTATTTAATGCTTAATATGACCATGAAGTTTACACGGAGTTCTAAGCTTATATCCCTTTTAATTTTGTTTTGTTTTTAACTTTATTTAATTAGACATGTTAAACTGGATACTGGACTCCTGGTACAGTGCTCTTATTAATGGGAAGTTAAGGTTTTCAACATGGGATTGAATGAATTAAATATTATGTTAAATTGTATTTTTCCTTGCACGCGGCTGACCTGGGTTCAATTCCTCTGCCCCTTTCGGAGAGCCTGGCAAGCTACCGAGAGTATTCCGCCAGCACGGCATAGCCTGGCAAGATACCCATGATGTACTCAATATGCCAAAAACAGTAACAACAAGTCTCACAATGGAGACATTACTGGTACCCGCTCGATAAAAATCGATGAACAATGGGAGGACAGTGCTACAGTGCTAACTTTATTTAAGCACCATGGTTTACAAAGTTTTTTTT